CGGAACCAGGGATTGAACTCAGGCCCTTGCACTTGCCAGGTAAGCGCTTATTCTATTGAGCCATCTTCCCGGCCCAATCCCAGTAATATAAAACCTACCTGAAAAAAAAAAAAAAAAAAAAAAGCATTAAGCATTTGGCTGATATACCTTGCCTAACAATCAGTCTCAGCCATCTGCTGTTCCTCATGTTTTCGCTGGCAGGATGCATCAAACAAGACTGACTGGAAGGAATAGATTTAATTAGGCATGCTCCTTCTGAGTAGTCTATCGTAATCTCTGAATTACTATTCCCATAAAACTAGGCTAGGAGAGGGGCCAGGGAAATGGCTCAGTGGAATAAGTGCTTCCCTGGCAAGCGCAAGGGCCTGAGTTCAATCCCCAGTTCCACAAAAAGAGAAAAAAAAAATATGCAATGAAAACTAGGCTAGGAGAGGCAGGCCTCTCCTTAGTTACCTGCAAGCAGAGAAAAAAAGGAGGTGGCCCACATTCAGCACACTTAATATAAGGTTCCATGAGGTAGGAGGAGCAGCCTCTACACGGTGGCTTATCAGAGGGATCATCTAAAATAAAGAGAAAACAAACACACCAGTGTTAAAACACCTAATTAGCATAAGTGCAAAGAAAGGGAGAATTTATGAAGGAGAACATGGGAGACTAAACTATGTTGAAAAGTATATGGAAACAACGTGAGCTCATTCCAAATAAGTAAACACAAACTTGTTCCTTTATACTTCAGGAAAGCTTTGTTCCTTCCTATAGCGTATCCATTACTTCAAGCAGCAGTTAGGCAGAGCAGAACCCTGCATAGGAATTTATAAACACAAGTTTTAAACAAGGTTTCATAAACTCACAACTCATTTTTCAGGGAAGGGGGTGGACTCAGGGCTATACCACATGCACACATAAGGCAAATCTGACAAAGGTTAGTGGTTGCCAAGGCAGCAAGCAGCACACAAATAATCACTCTACTGTTCCTTCAACTTTTCCACAAACTTGAACTTTTTCATAACAAAAAGTTAGGATGGGGAACTGCTTTAAACTACCTTGGGACTTACACTTCAGGTTTGAGTTGGGATTTAAACTCAGAAAAGCTCTTTTCTCCTGAGGTAGCAACAGAACACAGCTGATCTCCCTCCAGCTCTAACGGCAGCAGTACACCTCCAAGAACTCAAGGAGAATAATCTTTGTGTGTGGGGGGGGCGATATTAGGGAGTAAACTGATACTGAGCTATGTCCTTAACCTTTATTTTTTCAGATAGAGTCTCGCTAAGTTGCCCAAGATGGTCTTAAGCTTGTGACCGTTCTGCTTCCAAGTAACTGTGAAATAGGCAAGAGCCACACCACACACAGCCAGACGCTTTAAAATCACTTTGTAAAAAGCCATGCATGGTGGCATACCCCTGTAATCCTAGCACTCAGAAGGCTACAACAGGAGGATCTCCATAAATTCCAGGCCAGCCTGGGCTATGCAGTAAATTCAAGGCCAGACTGGATTATATAGAGAGACCCTGTCTCAAAAAAGCAAATAAAGGTCATAAAATAAAGGTA